CACACACACACACACAAACACACACACACACGCGCATGCTGATATGCTCCCTCTCTCTCTCACACACACACACACACACACAAACACACACACACGCACACGCACGCACACGCACACACACACACACACACACACAAACGCGCATGCTGATATGCTCTCTCTCTCTCTCTCACACACACACGCACACACACTAGCTATTCATTTGGATGCAACACCACTTTAAGTAAGAATAGAAAACAATATCTGAATCTTATTCGATTATGTTATTGCATGCATTCGAGACAACATGTAGATATGAAAAAGAATTAGTGCAGCAGGAGGGCATGATAAAAGAACGAAATGCAACGTTAACAGCACATGTAGTAAAATCATCACCTTCAGAATGATTCGTCAGCGTCCACATTCACACAGATCACGAGCCTGAATAAGGCAAACTTGAGACAGTCTTTATTGTTCGTTTCTGCCAGTGTAATGCTGTCGTTATTGTTGTTTTCTTCTCCACGTGAGGCAGGATATGCGTCGCTGAAAATCACCAGGAGTGTCTCCTCTCCTCGGTTTCGTCCGTATGGTCAGGATATGCAGTTGGTCATCTGGAAACAGGGGAAGGGGAAGCAATAGTCGACTAAAGGGAGCGTTCGCATGCTGTTTTGTAACTCCACAATGGATTATAAAGTGTAAACCTTCAGCTTTCTTCTACGTCGGTCCGTGGGCTCAGTTGGTGTACCGCTGTCGTACGTGTTTGTCTTTGTGGTTGTTTGTAGAGTTCGTTTTTCTGCATGACAAATGTGTACGGTTAAACACTTTGAAGCATCATAACGACACGCGTTAATAAACTCATTTATAGTGTTCATAAATTGTGTTCTTACATTGGTGCAACTGGATCATCATCTTCATCAGGGTCGACACGCAGGTGAAGAACATGCAAGAAAAAAAAAAAAATTAATTCATCACATATTACACTATACTTACACTGGATCTTTTTTCTGAAGTGGTAGTTTCAAAATTAGATAAATTGTTTGTTATTCAGTTAAATGGTCATTGTAAAATGCAACAGCAGCCAAATGCATTTTTTAAATAAGTTATATTATATTATATTTTGTATGTTTTATTTTCTGTCTGGGCTCATTGTGTCATTTGAAATGCAAACACATAATTGGTTTGTAAATCTTTAGATTCTCTATTAATATTAATAAATAGGATTTCCACTGAGGACATTATTTGGGTTCTCAAGGTCATCACAAATATCAGTGAATTTTAAAATGATGATTTCCTGCATGGCTTGGACAAGTCATGGAAATTAATATGGATATGGTTACGCTCAGTTAAAATAATAATAATAAAAATAATAATTGAAAAAAAAAATCATTTTGCCTTGACAACTAACTGAAATAGAATACATAAGAAATAAAATTACAAAAAATTTAAATAATTTCGAGCTGAAATAAACTATAAATATTAGATGAAAAACTTAAAATAATATTTAAAAAAAAAAGGAATGTTACCGTGGCAACTAACTGAAATAAATTAAGCTTAAGTACTAAAATAAAAAGAAATAAAAATAAATTTTATTGAAATAAAGTTAAAATAAAATATAAACATTAGATGAAAAACTTAGAAATGTTGTCTTGGCAACTAACTGAATAAATTAGTAAGTTTATGTTTAAGTAATAAAATTACTAAAAATAATTTTATTGATTGAAATAAATCTGAAATAAAATATAAACATTAGTTGAAAAACTTAAAATATATATATAAAAAAATAGAAATGTTGCCTTGGTAACTCACTGAAATAAAATATGTTTAAGTTGCAGTACTAAAATTACTAAAACTCGAAAATCATTTGTTAATTGAAATCAAGCTAAAATAAAATATTTTTAAAATATTACATAATCAAAGTTAAAAATAGAAATGTTGAATACATAGCAATTATGAACAACTAGAAATTACAATTTTTAATGGGAATCAATTGGTGTGGCGACCTTGATGAATAAAACAGCAGTAAATCTCAAGCAGGTTATTGCTGATGCAGGAAGGTCGTTTGAGTTAGAGGTCACCACAGACAGATGGGTAGTTCTGGTTAGTGTATGCGTATGCATTCACAGCGCTGGACACAGAGCAGCTTATGACGGGACAATATGAGTCTCTGACACATATCTGAGATCAAAACCTCACAGCCATCAGACTATACATTCAGATCAACAGCGCAAAAATAATCTATCAGTACTGTACTAGGGTTGTGATGGTGAGGACATTTTACCACCGGTTAATCGACGTGTGACAACACCGGTATCACTGTGGGGGCGTTCCCTCTTTTCCTCGCTTTCCTTCGCTTTTAAATAGCTTGTAAAAGCGGCGTGCGCATTTTACTTTCACTTTCAAATAGCGGCAATTCGACGTCAATTGCTTGAATGCAACAACAAAATACAACGTCAAACTCACTTTAGCCTATATATAAAACATAGAACTTTTATTAACAAAACAAATAAAAATACACCATGCTATAGAGCAGGCTATGCATAATATAAAATAACAAATACCTTGCATAAAGTTTAAATACAAAACTGGAAATAAGTAAACATGTATAATATATAACCAAATGAATAAGAAACATAGAACGTTTATTAGCAAAACGAGTAAGAAAGCTTGGAGGCACGGCATACACCTTGATGTAAAAATAAATAAATAAATAAATGACACAAAGTTTAAATAAAGTAAAAATCAGCAAACAATGTGGAACCAATTAAATAAGAAACAAATGTTTAAAAAAAA